TGGTGATGATGGTGATGGTGACAATGATGTCGATGGGGAGAATGATAATGATGATGAAAATGATGGTAATCCTGCTCCTATTTATTAGGATAAGAAAGACTCCTTCTTTCTTTTAAGACAGCGGTGCTCACAGTGTGGTCCCCAGACCAGCAGCATAAGCATCCTGGACTTGTTGGAAATGCAAATTCTTCACCCCACCCTAGACCCACTGAATCAGAAACGCTGGAGGTGTGGCCCAGCAATCTGTGTTTTAATAGGCCCTCTGGGTAACTATGATACACAATAAAGTAAAACACCAACTGCTTTAGAATGAAAACAAAAATGATTGCAATGGCCCAGGGTTTTTCCTAATGGCAGAGGTACTCTAAAAGCACATAAGGATAAATTTTTAACTGATGTCATTTCTTCACCTGTTGGAAAGGATAAGATCCCACAGACTCCAGAAGGATGATTTTCTGATCTAATTACTCTGGAAAGTGAATGGCAATTTTCTCTCAAATAAGTGGTTTGTGATGACTGATGGGCATAGTCATAGAAAACTATCCTAGGCCAATGACCATTAATCACAGTCCTTCATGGCCCCATAAGAGTGCTGTCTTGCCTGCAACTGCCTGGTAATTTCACTCTGATTTAGGAAGATTCCTACACCTGAGTGATCGGGTAGTTAACTGATTCCCGAACTCCCTCTTTGCTGATATTGCTCCTCACTGTTGAGCTCTCCATCAAGCTGCACCCTAAATTGTGCCTGAGATCTACCCTCAAGCAGCTGCCCAGAAGAAGGGCATTAGGCCATTCAGGCCAGGATTAGCAGGTTTCCTCGAGGAGAGCCTGAGCGCATGAGAGCAAGGTCAGCACCATGCCTGTATTCTGAGTTCCCTGTGTTATGATGGGGTGAACTATAGACTGGGAAAACCTTTTAGGTTTCAAGGAAAATGGACCAATCAAACCAACTTCTGTAAACTGCTCACAGCTTGATTTAACGGGGTCATTTTCATTCCACTTCTATCACACACATAAATATTAGCTATCCAGGACTAGAACTAAGAATGAGATATAAAAATGGTTGGAATCAGCCTTACCTGGAGGGAAGGGGGTCATCCTCAGAGAACCTGTTAGTGTAAAGAGAGGAAGCCATTACCCTCACTGGATGGGACCACTGGCTCATTGCTCAGTTTCTGTAATAATCCATTCTGTTCAGAGTCACTCAGACCACACAAAGACCTTCTGTCAGTCGGGAAATGCATAATTTAGTGGCTTATTTCAAAAAACATAAAACTACAGCAGTTAAAAGCAGTGAAGTATATATATATCTCAACATGGGTGAATCTCAAAAACATAACTCTGAGTAAAGAATAAGAGGTACTGAATGATATAAAGGGCATAATGTAATTTGTGTGAAAGAAAAACACAACATATATAGAGATCACATAATTCCTATTTGTAAAGATATTAAAACTGAAGATACCTACAAAATTCAAGAGAGTGTTTGTCTCTGAGGAAGAAGGAGAGAACAGAGATTGGGACTGAGGAATTGGGGGAACTTCAAATTTATCTATGATGCTTTATTTCTTGGTAAGACTGGAAAACCAATATAACAAAATGTGAGCATCAGTCACCTGTAGGTAAAGGGCACATGGCTATGTGTTTCTTTATCTCTGTATTTTCTGAATTTTAGAATGCTTTGCTGGAACAGCAGGAGAGTGAGAATGATCAGGTGCCAAAGCGGTCGGAGGCCCAGACCCGTCCTGGAGGCTGTGATCTCTCTTCCTCTAACTGTGGTCTTTCCTGGGCACCTCCGAAGCCTCTAACTGCAGCCCCCAGGCTCCTTCCCCCATTGTGGTGACCCCCTGTGGTCTTCAAGGGCAATGGCGCATTCTGTGGGGAAGGCTGCTGACCTGATGAGTTGGGCCAAAGAACATTGGCTCTGTGGCTGGAAGACAGTGAGTCAACCACAGGTAGAACTGGAACAGCATAGAAACAGTGATTAGAACTGAAACTCTTAACTCTAGGAAACACACTGAGGGATGCTGGAGGGGAGGTGGGTGGGGCAATGGGGTTAATTGGTGATGGGCATTAAGGAGGGCATTTGATGTAATGAGGATGCAAAAATTCTCACCAAAATACTAGCCAATAGGATCCAACAGTACATTAAAAGGATTATTCACCACGACCAAGTGGGATTTATCCCTGGGCT